ACGTAAAATACATACAAATTATCATGAGATCACGTTGAAAACTTGAAATAAGATCATCCAACCAGGGGATCTAGAGCACACCTGGTGCCTGTGGACAATAGTGTTGTGAAGGAGATGCGTGAGACCGATGTTTATAGATTGTAGATCTACTAATAATGGATTTAGCTGGTATTGATATTAAACGTGGGCCGATTTTTGATTAATTAGTTAATAGTTTCTAAAACCCATATATTCAGTTTAAATTTCCCCCCACAGAATCCCAATAATAGCCAGTAAAATAAATCGATCAATCAGTAAATAAATGTATACACATATACTCAAGTTATCAAAAGATTGGGGTCTTTTGGAAATAAAAAATTCCTATATTAAGCAAGCAAAGTCACAGTGTAGAGTCTTTTGAACTTTCTATTCATCAAAGAAACTTGGTAAAAATGTATCACAGTTTCCTCAAAAATATAAAGCAACACAACTCTTTTCAAAGTTGATAGTAATAAGAAATGGTTGGGCACCAAATCAGCATAATACAATAATTTCCAAAGGTTTATGTGACACTGAAGACCGAAGTAATGTCTGTTCAAAATTCTGCTTTGTATCACGAATAAATTACGTTTCAAAAAATATTCAAATAAAAAGTATATGACAGTTTACATTTTTTTACTGTATTTTTGATTTAAAAAATTGCAGCCTGGGGAGCATATGAGACTTCTTTCAAAAACATAGATATATATTCGTTTCTCTCATCTGTGAGCTGTAATTATTTAGTATGAATAGTATTTTTTCTAAATAGTATTTACTATTAAATAAATAGTATTTCTTTAGCTAAATTACTATAGCTATATACTGTATAAATAAATATATATATAGATAGATTACACTTTCAGATAAACATAATTTACTATTTTTTTCCCTCGTGGGGACCGCAGGCAAATTTCAGGTATTACTATCCTTGTGGGGACATTTGGTCCCCACAATGTAGCAAAAACAAGTACACACACGCACACACACACACACACACACAGACAGAGACAGACAGAGTTTGTGGTCAGTAAGAGTACCATTTTTTTTTTTGAAATAGTTTTTTTCTGTAAATATGCATTAAATTGATTACTTATTTCAAAAGCACTAAAACCTTAACCCACTTTGTGAGGATAACACATAGTCCAGGTCTTAACTACTGCTTCAAAATGTTGTTGTTTTATATCATGTTACCACATGGTGGCAGCAGTTAGTTTATGTACATGCTGCTGTCTCAGTTAATTTCTTAGGATGCTGAATAAGGTCAGTTGATAATATTGTAATGCTCTATACTACAGGGTGATTAAAAATCTCTCTCTCTCTCTCTCTCTCTCTCTCAGTTCCATGTCACCATTCAGTATTGAGAGCATTCGACGGCCACAGCCACCTGATTCTCCAGACTCCAAGAAAAGAC